AATTTCACGCCCGCTATATGCCCATCCAACGTATCCGGGTAATCGAATCTTCGACGTAATCGGCGTTTAAAGACCCCTCCTCGCAGACCGATACTGTTGACCTATATTCCTCGATTCTCGCTTTTTATCGCCATTCATGATTGGGCGCCTTTGAAATTGCATTCGGGGAACATGCGCGGAACGTGAATTGGATGCGATAAAAACATGTATATTTTAATGATTTTTAAAAAATATTTTTTTCCGAATATTGTCCCGCACATATCTGGTTTTTAATTTCATTTCTATCCAAGCTTTTCGTTCATACACTTTCCAGTTTTTGACAGCGATAAAAACGCGCGTTAAATGTTTTATCTCTATTTCCTGAGATAACCAGCCTGCTTTTTTAAAAATATTTTCGCAATGTCTCTGTATTTTTTATTACGTCTCCCTTTCTCTTTCCTTTTTTCGCTTTTTAAAAACTGTGCATCGAAAGCACACTTGTTATTAGAGTCCTAAATTATGGGTCTATTTAGTTTATTGTTGCTTCCTATAATTACATTTATCTTGATGCTTACTCAATGTCATTATTTCATATCGATCCGGGAAACGCGAATTTTCGGATCTTGTTGGCGCGAACGGCATCAGACTTGCCAAACTATTCATTCTCGCGTGAGCTATGCTCAGGCAATTATAATAGATATTGGCTCACGGTCTCGCGAGTTACACTCCCAACAAGATGTACGTCGCGACGTCTCCCATTCCTCTTGGAGTTCGCGCGTGTTCTGCTCGAGAATTACCGTCAGAGAGACGGATGCAGTTCTTGGTCGCGAGTTTTACGACAGTTGCGCAGTAATAACGGTATTATTCAAGTCACCTTCGCAACCGCGGCGCTATCATGATCCACATTGGTCTTAAAGAAATCGCGACAGCGAAAGTAGAAGAAAAATGCACGGACGTAAAAATGTATGCACTTTATATTTTCTGCCCTAGTGATTTCATAATGTAAAACAAACCGTCTATACACGTAGCTTTTTACATTAGAGATTAAAAAATAAATCTTGTTTCTCATGAAGAGTATTATTAATTATTTAAGAGTATTATTAATTATCTAAATAAAAAGATAAGAAAATTAAAAGGATAGAAAATTAAGAGATAAGAGGAAGATAATCTGCAGTGAATAAAATTTAATTCAATTAAAAAAATTTGTTTTTCGAGAGAGTTTCGAGAGAGGATTTTAATTTGCACCGAATTAACATGTATTCTTATGGGAAACCACGTCGATTCGAATGACAAAAACACATGGAAATAATATTCAGAATTTGTTTAAAATTTGCAAAAGTTTAGATACAGAGGAAATATTTGGTCAAATAATATTATACAAGTATTGGTTAAAAAGATATTAAATATAATTCAATGAAGTTAGCCATGTATCTGTCACAAGGCAAAATTCTCCGCCAAAAGTTAATCATTTCGATTAACAAAATTCGAAATATTTCAGTAAAAACGCAATAAATATTAAAAAATACATCTCTGCATTGTTAAGATAAAATTTCACACAATTTCTTACTCAAAATACACCAAAAGTGGATATATTCGTCAACATTGATTTTCAGCTACTTTTTGCTGGGATTGTACATACAAAACATCCTTAAGAGGCTTCAATTAAAAATTACAGAATTTTTTTATTTTTTTTTAACATTAAAGGCCCATAACTTTGCAGGAAAACACTTTCACGTTCATAGGAATTTTCTTCTTTAATAATCCAAGGAATTACTTGTTGGAGTTTTGGAAAACATGGAAACACTTGGGAAACACCCTGTATAACAGTGGCTTTAATCTTCGCGAAAGAATATCAGGGAATATGCTCGCATAGTGCTTTGCACATCTTGATATCATTGTGAGAGAACCGGGAGCCGGTTGCGGTAAGATCGATAGCAGGAAGCGAGACGAGTGTCGGTCGCTCCGACCTGTTGTGGTCGATCCTACGTGTTCCTAGACGATGGACCCGCATGTCGAACATGGTGTTTGCGCGCCCTATTCCATCGTGAACGCCACTTTACGTGCGAGAAGTGTCCTATCATCTTACACGACGGAAACTTTGGCCGCGTCGGGGGTGGACGCCCGAGAGTTTTAATGCGATTCAACGACTTTTCTGCGAGCGAGGCACGAACGAGGGGCGATTTCCTTTCTTACATCGCGATGCCGGGGTATATCTCGGAGCACGTGAGTGCCGGAGGCGTGGCTGCGACGCGATTAGCGAGTGTGAACATCGCGCTTTTCTTATCGCCGCGAGCGGCTGCTTGATGAATTTCCTCCATCCGTATTTTCCGCCGCCGTATAATTTTATCGCGAACGTCGAAATTTCCTCCGTTCTCGCGCGATCTCTAATTTTCAGCCTGCGGGAATTAATCTACGTGCGTATTCGCAATTTGTCGACGGCGAACGGTGCGTTTATTTTAAGAGTTCTCTCGTTTAAGCACGTAATACCATGACGTTTTACGATTTTTCACTCCGCCTCGTAATGAGACAAAAGCCTCCTGGACATTTCACGGACCGCTTAAGCAATGTTTATAATGTTATCGCGCAAAAAAAACCGGTCGGAAGTAACTGGTTTAGTATCACGAGCCTTGTACTTTTATATGAAACGAGGGTCAGGAGAGATAATAATTTACGCAGGTCGCAGCGTGGCATGGCATCTTGAGGAAACCACGCTCCCACGAGAGGCCGCGATATGCTGATTGCGTTAAGGACGTCACGCGAAGCTCGCACTTGCAACCGACTCCTTTTGTTGCGTCGGAATTGCATAGCACGCACGCGAAATCCGGCACGACATGGCGGTCGTGCGTGCGTAGGAATTCCCATGTGCAGTCGTTGTCTCGGTTATAACATCCGGCGTACACGCGAGAATGATGATTGGTCGGTGGCCGGGCGACAGTGCAGTGACATTTAGCACACCATGGCCACGTGCAATTCTGATTGCACGCCTGTTCATCAAATTACACGGATCATTGCTGTTCGGAACGAGATTATAAAACGATCCAGAAGCGTGCTCTCGAAACTTGGGCGCGAAACTTACTGGATTTTATTCGTCACTGCACAGAAAAAAAGGACATTCTTGTTTCGAAAATATATTTAGTTTTAACATGGAAATCTTGAAATGAAATTATATTGCGTTAATTAAAGGAAAATATAATTGCTTGAATAATTGCTTACTTGAATGAAGCCATTTTATATAGTTCAATCGAGAAAAATGTATTCTTACGATATAAGATTTAATTTTCTTGAATGGAAAAGAAACAATGTTGGATTGAAAATAACATTTTTAAATCAAAGATTATAATTTTCTAAAGTAAAATTAAATAATTATATATTCTTGAGATGATAATTATAATATTAAAATAAGACTATAATATTGTTGAAATTTAAAATTATTAAATTCTTCTAAGAAGATTATAAATTGTTACGTATATATGAAACAATGAATGCGTTAATTTAAGTATATAAGTTTTGATTTGACACTTATTTTTTTACTGTGTGGAATTGCTCTTGGTTATGTGTTTTCGTTTCACAATCTTTTATAGCAGTATTATTTAAAATTTTATTATTTTATTATTTAAATTTTTTTATTAATCTCGAATATATTGAATAATGATATATTTACATGATGAATGTAAAACATAATTTTTCGATAAATAAAATATTCAGAGCTTCTTAATGCTTCTTAATAAATGCGAAAAATTTTAAGAGATGATTCTTTGTCGAAAATTAAGGGGGGTTTTTCATATAAACATTAAAAAGTTTTAATAAAAAATTGAATAGGAATTGCTAGTTTCCTCTTATAACAATACGAGAAGGCTGAAAAAAATATTAATAAATAATTATTTTACTAGTAGAAAATATCCATCCAATTTCATTTCTTTAACTTGGTTTAAATTTTAGGAAAAAATAAAAATCTAATTTTTGGAGGAATGTAACTCCACAGGGAGGATTATTTAATTAATTTTTCATATATGTTTATATGAAAACCCCTCCTTAATTTGCGACAAAGAATTATCTCCTAAAATTTTTCGCACTTATTAAGAAACACCCTATAAAATTACTTAATAAAATATATTTGTTAAATTAAATATGTAATATGTAAAATATGTATTGCGTGCCTATAAATTTATTTTTGCGAGAATGTATGGAATATCACGAATCTTTATCTTCTCGTGAATCAACATAGAAGTCGTGGTCTCGATGCAATCTACGGATTTAAACGTTACCTTCCCCAGGTAGTTTTCTCGTTGACTTAGATAGAAGTTGTCATGCAGGAATTCTCTTTCTCTCTGCCTTTTACCGCAAGATTTCTGTACAAGATGGTGCTTTCGCAATACGCGGCAAACATATGGCCGACATTGTCCGCTTCGGGGAACAAGTTTTCGTGACTCACGCGGCGCGACCGCCGCACTTATGACGCCGACAGCACGCTGAGAATTCTCTTTTAGGTAGAGCGGCCATGGCCGCGCTTTTGTTCGACCACCGGGGCTCTCGATGGCCCCGACCAATTATGGAAAGTCTTGGTCCATATTGCCCTATTATGCCTCGTTTCTCGGCCCTCGCGAAACCACCTGGCTCCCGTGGAGCGAGGATAATTCCGCGAGACGTCATTCGCATCTCCTTCTTTTTCTTGTCTTATCCTCTCTCGAATAAAAAGGAACGTTAAGGTATACGAGGTGGGCTTTGTCAGATACTCGGCTCGATACGTTTTATTGAAATAATCAATGTCGTTCTCTCCAAGTCTTGTTAGCGCATGTTTATTCGTCGGATTAATACATTTTGAGATTAATAACGTTTATCAAAGAAATAACATGGTTAAAGAAATTGTATATAATGTACGATTTTCATTAAATTTATCGAGCTATTAATGAAATTGTTATCAGCGCAGCGATATTATCAGCAATTTCAATTATATATATAATATCGTTTTATTTTCTCGAAAGCGATTTATTACTAACGTAATTCTTTTATTTCTGTTCCAGGTAAGTGGCCCTTTGTCTTGATTGGTTTCCACATCACGAAAAAAGTCCATCTAGAAGTCCCGTAAGTACTCTCCGAGCTACCATAAGTCCGCGGGTTACTTAATCGATATTGGCGGATATTACGCGCGCAGGAATTTTATGGCACCGGTATATCGCTATTGTCGATATAAGCGCCATTATTCAAATCCGGTTTGTGTCGCTCGTGGTATGCGGCTTGCGCAATTAATATTTGAATTTTCCGGGAATTCCGACGGGATTTTTCGCGCGTTTCGCGCGGATGTTTCGAGTGTTCACAGAATTACGGTGGATGGCGTGTATTAATGACGTTCCTTGTCGACGTCGTCGCTCAATCCTCCCTTCGTAACGTCGTCTCGCGATTTATTTTCCGCAAGGATATTTACTTGGCGATTGTATTAGATATCGAACAACCAGCTTATTAACGAATTCGAGAGGATTGTAAATATTTTGTCAGATCTTTAAATATTTATCATTCATAATTATCCGAAATTCTTTTCAATATTTAGACGTGCAATCTTTTTATATATTGCTTTTATTATTCGAAAATGGTATCGAAAATAATTTAATCGATGTGCGGTCATCAATAAAAAAATATATGTATTTTTTTAAATTGCATATTCAAATGTCTGATAAAATGCTTTACATTTTATTAATACATATATCTTCCTTAAATGAAAAATTTGCACATTTTGCGAGTAATATAGAACATCTCAGGTATAACGATTCTTATTTTGATAATCCATCCGAGCGATCTCCATTACGCTGTACTCCGTAAGTCGAAATCCGGGCGAATTTCTTTTCTCGGCTGTTCTCTTTTCTTTTTTTTTTTATTAATACACGCTAGCGCACGCAATCTTGCGAAACATATGAGCGCCGTCCTGGAGGAGAACGACGGTGCACGCTCGGGTTAACCAATTTTATCCGCGGAGATCTAATTTCCCGCCGTCAAGACGCGTTACGCCGAGGACATCCGTCGCGTTCGTCTTTATAATACGGCTCGTTTCCGCGTTGTAAACGCGCCAGCAGAATTGCGTCGCCGTTGTAAATCTCGGTGCATTCTTGCCCGGGATATCTTCCTCCCTGGAGGCTGGGGGAGCTGGAGCCCTCCTTAAGCTTTTTGCTCGCAGCACCTCGCGCAATTAAATAGTACGCTCCCAAAATTCACTCCATTGGACCCCGAGATTGGATTCCCGTTGGAAGTTCCAGCCCGAAATATGAACGCTCAGCTCGCGGAATGTAAGACGAAATTATCTCGGGAACTTTGGCGATAATATACTCTAGAGGGGCGTATTTTAAAAATGCGAGCGTGATGAAAATCTGTTTAATTAAAGCAAAAAAATCCTGCGTTAGTTAGTTACATCTTTCTTAATTCCCTCGAACATTTTAATTACGCTCGCGATTTACAAGATTTACGTATCGTCTTTTTTCGTACGTATCGAAATACATAATATCCGTATATTCGAAATGGCGCATCCCACGTAACTGTCATCACTAGCGCATCAGATCACGTTAATATGTACGCGTATTATCACATCGTATATAATCAATGAAGATACTCCCATAAATGCGCGGATTATAATCACCGGCGAATGTAAATCGGCATCATTATGCGAGCAGCGCGGGGAGGAGGGAGGAGGGGGAGAGCGAGCGCGCGACACTCGCCGGTCCCGAGCAACGCGCGGCATTCCTGGAGGGCATATATGCCGCGCATTTACACGCACACGGTCATCATTAATGGTAATCGGGCGTCGTTTCCTTTGAGAGGCCTCGTCTGATGGCGCGTCCAAAGCTTCGGCGCGAGAAGCATCGGGATATAATCGTCTCGCGGTGTAAATGCGCGCCTGTCAGTCGCGTGATTAGCATACTCGTGCGCGAGAAGAGATACAGCTTACATCCCCCCCCCCGCTCTCCTCTCGTCCTTCCTTGTCTGTAGCTTCCCACGTTGGAAATTTGTTTGAGAAGCGATCTGTCAATATCGGCTACGTCAAACGTCAAATTAACATTAAGTTGAATTTGGCACAGTGAGAAAAAAATCTGGTTACATTAATTAGAATTTTGGTAGATTCAACCAGTATGTCTGTTGGAAAATGGACGAACCAGAATTCTTGTAGGAATTACCAGATGAATTTGATTAATTTCTTCCTGTTAAATTACCAAATTTTTTACCAAATTTTCTGATTAATAAGAGTAAACTCACCAGCACCCAGTCGTCTAAAATTTTTTCCATCTAATCCCAAAATTCTGTTTAATATTCTCTGAATTCCAAGATTATTGGATAAATTCAATCCAGATTATTGAATAAATTATTTTAAATTCAGTTTGTTAGAAATTAAACTGATAAACGGTGATGTAAGAAGAGGATGCAGCTCAAACACACGCAATCAGAGAGCTAGCGTCCTCTTTCTGGCACTACTGCTCGTAAGAGAAAAAAAATATACTTTGGATTTAATGTTAATGTTAGTTCTTTATATACATTTCATGGCAAATATTGAATACGAGTTAAGTTAAAAGTGGCAAACAAAGAGAAATTAATGTAACAAGAAATTTTATAGATCCAACCAGAAAATACTAACCAAATCCTTGTAGTAGAATCTATTAAACGTTCTAGTTATAAAAAATCGAGTCTTATCGTGATAACTAGAAATTCTTGTTTTTGATTTAACCAAAATACCTTCAGTTATATACATCTTGTTGATACAATCAAACGATTTTTCTCAGTGCAATAAATTAATAGATGGATTTGGTAGTAATTTTTTCCGAAAATATCGGAAGATGATAAATATCGAGAGTCTATTTTTTTCGGATGAACTTTTTACATTCGAGAAATATTTTGCATAGGACGAGGTACAAGAACAATATAAGATTTTATAGTTCCGTGAAAAGTGCGAGAGGTGAAAAGTATGGTTGTCGAGCCAGACGATATAGTCGTTTTGAATTTTACGACGGAGATGTCGCTTATGCTCGCGGAATATGCAGATGCACGCATAATGATGGTCGGACTGCGCCGTAAAAAGTATTCGCCACGCCCAGTTGCACCTTGCGATAATATGCTGCTATCCCGCTCGTCTCGCTAATGAGCTTAAATTAACGTTCGACTCTGAGACTCAGTTTTGCCAGGATCAGTTAACATTAATCACGCGTGATAAAATCTTCTGTATCCATTTGCAGGAAAATATCAACTCCCGTGTACATAACGCAAATTTGCGAAAAGCATCTATTTCTTTAACATTATTTCTCAAAAAAAAATATTTCTTTCAAATATTTAATATCCATTTCTTAAAATCATTTTCTTGCTTTTTATTGAACATCAGTTTTTAAAATAATATATCCTTGGTGATCCTGGTATACACACGCATTTTGTTTAATAATAAGTGCCACGAATGGAGAAATGAAGCAACATTACATCGATAAAACTGGTCTTAAGACTCGGACTAACCGAGAGATGACCACAAGCGGGTTTTTGTACGTGGGACAACATTCAATCGGCGGTTCTTGCAGGACGACGCGACACCATAAGAAGTGCCATAATTATAGAGAGCGAGGGAGAAAGAGAGGGAGAACGCATATAGTTTTAATACACATTCGGCAACAAAATGTGCGGTTGATGTCGCGTTAGCGTTAATCGCGATCTGTAAATAAAGCTCGGAATCAGATAGCTCTGTTTAGCGTTAAACAGAATAATCGACGGTGCGAAATGCAATGATTAATTAGTGTGAAACGTGACGTAAATGCTCAATGTTAATTTCGCGCGATCTCTTTGAATACAATATTTGAATCGAATTTCGCGTGACACTTATACGAGTGCGATGGCAGTTTGTAATTGCGCGAATTCCACTTTATGCAGCACCTTGGTCTTGCTCCACGTATGCCATGGAGCATGCCATTAATATCGCTGCACTTTCTGTCTACGGGTTATGGACTCCGCGTATATTAGATCGCGATTTCACGCGTTCCTTTGATCATCAACGTCGAAACGCTCGTGCAAAAGTGCGCTGAAATGCCGCTGACACTCAAATATGCCATATTATATGGCGCTTTGCTTTACCGAGGGTCTTCAATTGAATCCCTACCGTCTGTTTGCGCGGATAAAAGTACTCGAACGTTCACAAGAACGTGGAATACGTGGAAGTAATGCAAAGGACAGATTTAAACGCCATGTGAAGCAATTATTTCTGACAAAGTATGTCTTTTTTCTGTATATATCAAACGTAGCAAGAATGTTTTTGGAAGAATGAGTCATGCTCGAAATTATTTTCACGTGAATTTGTAAATAATTACGGTTTTTTGGATTAATATTTGGAAATCTGATATAAGATTCGAGATTAAATAAAGTAAATTAAGCTTCTATCTTTAAGGCACATGTTAAGCACATTTTAAATTTTATCATTAAAATTTTATGAAAATCCTGCAACTCGAAATGGAACTTAATTTCTATTACTCGATAGAAATATATTTTCGAATGAGTTGAATGATATAAAATTCATTAAAACTGAATTAGTAACCTTACATTATTATCTTAAATATTTTTAATTAATCGATACTTGAGCTAAAGCATTGATTGTAATCTTTAAATATTCTGAATTACATATTTAATCTTGTGAATTTAAAAGTAGATGTAGAGATTAAAAGAGCTGTTTGAAGAATATCACGTTAATATATTACGTTAATATTCATCATTAAAATCGTGAAATTATATTGTAATAGCGATTGTAAGAGCAAATTCGCATTTCAGTTTTCATTAAGAAATATCAAATATCTCTATTAATATTACAACAGAAATTTCCTTAATAATTTATCGTATTATGTGTTGTGATTAATAAAATCCTACAAAAAAGAAATTAAATTATATTCCAACTCCAATATTTTAAAATTATTCTTAAACATGAGTTGACTTATTATTCGACGACGCGATTTAATTCACAATGAAATAGAGATCACGTAATACGACATTCAAATGCGACGACGATTTTCAACCCGGTTAATCAGGCATCAGTCTCTTGGCCTTTTTAATTACGATGTTCGCGCCGTCGTCGTGGAATTCGC